CAACAAAGTTAGTGTTATTTTAGCTGTCTGCCACAGCATATTGGAGCTGAAATGAAATAATAAATATGAGCTCAAAGTACAGACTTTCACCTAAAATTTGAGGGTATTTACATCTACAGTGGGTAAATGGTGTAGGAATTGCAACCATCAATTTCTGATATTACACAATATTATATAATAAATTCTATTTAAATAATTAACATTTAAATTTTTCTAATTTGCCCTTTCTCTCTGTCTCTCTCTCTTTTCTTCCTCCAGTCGTACGGTGTGTGTTCATTAGGGATGGAGAAGCTGTGGTTGTTGGTGATGGTGTACGGGCTGTCGTCCTCTGTTTGTTCAGCCCTCTCAATGGCTCTTCTGCAACAGCGTTTGCCCAGACAGGTGGTACTCCTGGGCGGGGCAGCAGTTCACCTGGTCCTGCTGGTGGTTCTCATGTGCTGGTCTTCCAGCCCTCGAAGGCCTGATCAGTTACCACAGCTACTGGTGCTAGTTGCCCTTTGGGGTCTGGGCACTGCTCTGAACAAGACTGGACTGAGCAGTGAGTAGGACACACACACACACACACACAACTGAACTTCAGCTCTGTCATGTGTCATGCAGGACAGGTAATATATGAAGCTTTTGCCATTCATCCATTAGAGGTCAATCCTTTGTAGAGAGTTAAGTTTGATTTTGTCAGATGCTCATATACAGTAGTCACACTGCAAAGAACTTACAGTTTTATTGCTGTGATAAAAATCCAAGGGAATTCCAGAAGAGCAAAACCCCTCAGATTAATGACTTCTTTTCTTAAAATAATGATTTACTATTTGATATAAAATTACTTATTTATTCAAATTACTAAGTAAGTTTCTCAAATTATTGGCTAACAATGTTGGAAAATTGCAAATCTTCTCAAAATATTGACCTACTGTTAGGGGTGGGCAATATGGCAAAAATACCATATCATGATGCTTTTAAAACATTTTTACGATGCATATCTCAATATTTTGACATGCAGACACAATGCAGAAGTAGTGCAACATTTGAAAATTGCCACCAAAACTCAAGGCACAATGGGCCTCATTCAACAACCATTCCTAAGAAGAAATTTTTTCTTAAAACTTGTAGTAGTAGTTTTCACAAAGATTCTGAAGTTCACCAGTGTTTTCTTATTTGGGATTTGTTCTTAGATAAGAACACTGCATTGTAAGAACGTGTCAAGGATCTGACATAGATGTTTTCTAAAGACCTTTCTCAAGAACAAATAAAAAAAAATCTTAGGAAGATATTGGTGAATGAGGCCTGTTGATTTCTGTTCAGCATTTTACATTATGTCCTGCACTAAATGCAATTAAACCGTAAAGTAATTATTACTTCATTGAAATGTAGTAATTCATTGTTTTTAACTTAGTAACTCAAAATCTCCAGAAACACCATTATTTTGACACACCAAAGCGATATTTTGAAAAAATGTCATTATTCTGTGATATTAAGTCAGTATTTTAAGAAAATAAGAACAAAATTTGAGAAAATAAGTCATTAATTTGAGAAAATAAGTCATTATTTTGAAGTATTAATCGAATAAATCATTTGGAATATAGGCAGTTTTTTCTACTCAGCGAAAGAGGGCTTAGATATAAACATTTTGACTCCTGACTGAGAGGAATGCAGTGTAAATTTGCTTGACTGTTTCTGCCATCCATGGGTGTTTCTGTGCAGGTCTGCTGGGACTGTTCTATGAGGACAAAGAGCGATTAGACTTTGTCTACACCATCTACCACTGGTGGCAGGCCATCGCAATTTTTATCGTCTACCTTTGGTCTGCCCTGCCTATGAGGGTAAACACTAGTGTGTGTGTGTGTGTGTGTGTGTGTGTGTGTGTGTGTGTGTGTGTGTGTGTGTGTAGGTTTTTAGGCTTGTGTTTGTATTCTGTTTGCTTATTTGGAAACCTTCCAAACTGTCTAAACTGGTATCTCTGCAAATTGGAAAAATGGCATAAAGTGTTGCAACTCATCAAGTGTTTAACTCATCACTTAATTTAGTGAGGAGACTTGTTTGTGCAAAAATAATAATAATTAATAATAATTAAAGGTTCAATAGCAAAATGGCCTACGATGATAGATAGCATTTCGTCATTCAAAATATTAAAATTGCAAATGATTAATTCCAAATCAGTACAGGATTAGTTAAAAATAACATGTTAACGAACAGGTGATAAAATAGATTCTTTCATTTTTTATTTTTCTCCCTCTCTCCCTCTCTTTATCTGTCTGATTCTCCCACTTTAGGCCAAGCTTGCGATCCTGTTGGTTACGCTGTTAGTTGCAGGCTTGTGCTATTGGCAGATGGAGCGTCGCTTAGCCAAGAAGATTCCTTACAGGTTGCCACGGATTCCCCGTCCACGACACAAGGTGAGTCAGCGGGCCACCTGTTATTTAACACTGAGCTATTTGTGTTGTGCGGTTTGCTTTCTTCTCGCTTTCATTTTATGCACCATTACAATTTCTCCTGTCAGCGTTACAGTATTAAAAAAGAAATGACTTTGGTGACTATATTAATATCTGTTGCTGATCTTAAACAGGTTTCTGTTCGATGCAGAGGCAAATGGGAAGTGTTAGAAGTATCAGAAACGAAGACCAAACTTTGTTGGTTGACTTTAAATATACAGAACAGGAAATTGCTGTTTTTATATAACAGATAGTTATGTTGATGCTTGTATTGAGTGAATTTCCTAATTGTTTGTAGATGAGTGTAATTCATCATTAGTGATTTTCTGTGTATGTTAGTTTTTCCTCAGGCCAGCGTTAGGTAAGAGTTGCACCATTCACTGCCCCAGTCAGCTTCCCGTCTCAGTACGTTCTTCTCCCACACAGGTCAAAGGTTACCGCTACCTGGAGGAGGAGAACTCTGACGAGTCCGATACAGACAAGAGCGATGTGGAGGGCGAGGAAGATGAGGGCAGGCAGAGTGAGGAAGAGCAGGAGAGGGATGCCGGCTCACAGGGCTCTGATTCGCCGGGCCGTGACAGGTGCGCGGCCGGAGGCCGGCGGCGGAGACGGGACAATGCTGCCTACGAGCAGGCAGGAGAACAGGAGGATTACGTCCAAGCCATGTGACAGAATACTGTCTTCTTATTATACAGGAGAATTAGTTGCCTTTGCTTTGAAAAAGAAAATGTGCTCTCAGTTGACATATGAATGAATGAATGAATGAATGAATGAATGAATGAATGAATAGGTGAATAAAATAGATTGATGGATGGATGCATGAGTCTGGACTAGTGACCATTCCATTCAAGTTAAAGGGATGTTGAAATTTGGACTGATGAATGAAGTATTGAGTGGAGATTTTTTGAGGGTCTATTAAAAGATCAGTTCCACTGGCTTTGTCAATGTAGAGGTTATTTTTTCTTTTTGAGCTGTAACAAAACCCTGAGGTACTCTAACATGAGAAAAGAAGAAGTTCTACATGGATTTCAGTGAAATGAGAAGTGAAAAAAGGAAGTAGACCAAACCTTAAATGGCCAGGTGGTCCGTGGCTATAGAAACAGACCACACAGAACCCCTGGTCAAGGTAATAAGCTGGAGGTTTTCATCTGCTGCCTTTCAGTCATTTCCTCTTTTTCGCTGAATGCCTTGTCAAGCTTGCGCTTTCTTACTGGTCCATTTCAATTAAGTCTGTAATTAAATACTTTTTTTAATAAAGTTGTATGTCTGTGTAGTTGTATCGTTGGTGTTTTTTTTCTTTAGAGTTACACTGAAGTGCATTAAGCCACATCTAGACAAACTCACTCACTCACCCTCCTTCCCACTCACTGAGATACATACTCAGAAAGACCACAGTTTGGAGGTGAATATGCATTTATTAGTCATAAACTGTCCTCACTTCCAGCTGCTCACACACACACACACACACACCCATCTGTCACGTATGGCAGTTATACGTCACGAAACGTCACTCTCATATGCTTGAGGTGGACTGTCCAACTGTTGCGCTCTTGTACACTGTATGTACACTGACCTCTCTAACGCCCCCTAGCGGGCCTCTACAGCAGTGCCCACCTCAAAGAGAGTCTTTGTGTATATACATTACTGTTCAGCAGTTTGGAATCACATTTTTCATTAATATAAAAATATGTTTTTGTCAGATACATGTATAAAAGGATTCTACTATGATACTCGGACATTGCAGTTTCATTGGTCAACTAATTTGTAGAAACAAATATATTTTGTAAATGATGTAAATGATTCCATAGTCATCTAGAATGAACTTAATAATAATAAATAAAATTAATATCCACAGTGCCTTGTGTTTCCAAAGTGGTGATCAAATCCAAGGAGGGGAATATGACAAGAAATTGTATGAATATATATTTGCAGTATGTTATTAACCATTAAATAGCTTTCAAAATTTTGAAATATTGAAAACAACATCTAAAACTATTACTTCTAGTGTCTTATGTCAAGCTACACTGCATGTTGTTATCGGCATAAAAAAGAAAGTGATTCCAAACTTTAGAACACTAGTGTGTGTGCAAGTCTGCTTATGTTTCTTTACTTTTACACTGGTGTATGTGTTTGCACGCGTTCCTGGTAGAGTAGGACAGTAATCGTAGCTGGTGCGCTGGCTGTGTATTGTCCTGTTGTGTTATTGCTGGCGTGTTGTGTTAGTGGAGTGTTCTGCAGTGTCTCCTCATCACTGTGAGTTGACTGTGAGTGTAAAGCCTGACTCTAGAAACACAGCATCATAGACCGATACTGCAGAGCGTTACTGTTACTGGTTATGCTAAAGTTACAGGTGTAGATCTAGGCACATACACTTCTATTCAAAAGATTGGAATCAATTTGCTTGTATTTATAGTATATATGAAATTTTAGATGTGACCAGAATGCATGGAGCTGCTGATGACTCTAAAATAACTGAGAAAGCTGTAGAACACCAAAAATAAAGTTCTAATAAAATTTAACCTCCAGAGCGTGCCTTAGTTTATAAGAAGTGGCCCCATCTAGAACTTAAATTTTCATGAATAAATTATTGTAAGTAGATAATACAAAATATTGTCTTTCATTGATAATTTTGTGGTGTTCCCAAAATACCTGAGATATTAAAAATAAATCTAAAAAAGTTTGTTATTTTCTACACTGTGATTTCACAGTTAAATTGTATTTATTATTTATCTAGTTAAACTAATATTGAATATAAATGAACACAGTTTGATTCCAAACTTTTGAACTGTAGTGAATACCCCCTTGCTCTCATCCACTGTGCTCTTTCCTCCACCCCCTCCTTCTCTTCTCTGTCTCAGTGCTGGACTCTGCGGATGGATTGGATTTGGGGCGTCTGGCTGTGTGAGCCCCAGCTCTTCCAGTGCGGATAATCACCACTGTTCCGCTCACATTCCATGATGTACTGCTGCCCGCGGTAGCCCGGAAACTCATAACACACAAAGCTGCACAGAGGAGAGAGAAACAGGCAGGAAGAGGGGGATCAGAGGGGCTAAGAGGGATAGTTTAAGCAGAGGAGTTTTAATTAAGTTACTTCATTTCAAGCAAGTAAAGGAGTTTAGTCGTGATTGCAAAAAGACAACAGGCAGATGGGAAAAGCATCCGAACGGAAAAGAGTGGGAGCGCATTTCACAGTAATGATGATTATGTGCTGTGGGACTTTAAATTATTCAAACTCAAAATAGTTTGGGTATAAGACATCAACGGCATTTTTCCGTTTTAGAAATGAGTCCATATGTGCTTTTCACTCTCTGGCTCATCACACGGACAGTTTACAGTGAATCGATGACTTCATCTGCTCCACAGGGCCCTATTTATCTGTTTATCAAAGCTGTGTTAAATGTGCAAAGGCGTGATCTGTAAGTGTCAGTAACACTCTGGCATGTGTTTTTATGCCTGTACAGGTGAGGCGTATGATAGATATATGGATGTGATTAACATGCTGTATTTAATAACACTGTAAAGCTCAGGAAAAAAGTGTGGAAATTGTCGATATAATGGCATATGTTTAGCATTGAGTCAGAGAAGTAGAATTCCTAAAGGTGTTTATGTCAGAAGTACAGTAACACTTTCTTTTACAGTCCCCTCTGTTCTAGGTATTAAATAGGAAAGAGTGAGGCAAAAACTTTAAGGTACTAGGTTAATATTTTGGATGACATGATGGTGTGTTCCACTGAACAGGTTCTAGGTAAAAAAAAAAGTTGAGACAGTTTGGGAAATGGCAATAAAAACAGAAAGCCATGATTAGTAAATTATGTTTGATGTATTAAATGAGAAGCATAAAAGAAAATGAAGTCTAGCACCCGCACTCTCTGGTTACGCAGCCATGCTGTTGTATCATGTGCAGACAGAATGTTTCGTGCTGTTGTCATGTTGAAATAAACATGGACATCCCTAAAGACAGCATCTAAAAGGTGGCATATATATATATATATATATATATATATATATATATATATATATATATATATGGGCTTTTCTGTGTAATTGGAACTATAAAATAATGATAAAGTCCTTTGAAGTTTGTACCTCATAGACACCTGCTTAATAACCAGAGTTCGGAGAGCTGTAAAATAAAACGTTATCAGAAATATTTGAAGTGGCGTGATTGTGTGTAAGTGAGACTTACGCGCCACACTGCACATGCATGGAGCCCACTTGGGTGTTACACCAACCCATGGCCTGCAGGGAAGGATAGTCATCACACACCTCCACACTACGGCCCAGGAAGTTCTCTTTCTCAAAGATCATCATGCGGCTGGTCTCATGAGCCTGAAAGAGAGAGAAAGAGGGTCCATTTCTTTAATTGTGTCTTTTTCCCTTTCCTTGATCTCTTGCTTGTATCATAGCTTCTCCCTCTGAGGATGCAAGAAAGCACATGAGGACAGAAGGATCAACGCGAAAACCAATGCTATATGTCCAAAAGTATCCTCTTCTAATTAGTGATTTCAGTTACTGTAAGTTGCACCTCTTGCGGACACAGGTGTTCAGTTGCACACACAGCTTTTAATCTCCAGAGTAAAGCATTGGCAATGAAATTGGACACTGGAGAAGCTGCACATAAGCCTAAGGTCACCATGCCCAGTCCTAAGTGTCCATTAGAGGGGTATAAAATCCCCAGCATTGGGCTGCAGAGCAGTGGAACTACACATTCTGAAATGTTGGTGCACCATCCAGTAACTGACCTCACAAATGCTCTTGACTGCAACCAGATCCTCGCAGCAATGTTCCAATATCTAGTATAAAGCCTTCCCAGAAGAGTAGAGGCTGTCACTATAACAAGGTGCCATTAAACACTTAATTAACATTGAAAACATTTCACGTGTACATGTATACCACACACTTGAATGCTGGAGTTTGGCCTACACAAGATTTTACCATATCACTGACTTTTCACATGGATATATTTCATTGAAATTTATTGGTATCATTAATTATATTTTACTGGCTCAAGCAAGAAGAAGGAAGTGAAGAAAAATGCCAGTTTGGAAGCAGTTTTTTTTCAGCTCTTGTTGACTGTGAGAGGAAGAAAATAGACAATGTCAGCATCTAGTCACTGCAAACTGCCAGACTAAAGAGAAAGAGAAAAGCAGAACAACTGCACACCTGAAAGGTAAAGATGGCCAACACAGGGGGATCTTAAGAAGCTTTTCACCAACCAGACAGATGAATAGGCAACTTGAAAGCATTTGCTTTCAATTCTATCTCAATATAACTACGTCTTTCAAATAATATCATGGATGACATTTATGTAGAAGATACAAATGTGCAAGACTGTAGATGCTTACAATCAAAAGTGGCTGACTGTCTAATTTTTTAAGAAATATTGTAAAAGAAGTTATATAAATATAGCTGTCTTTACAAAATTAGGATCAAGAAGCTCCATGGACAGGAGTTGAGATACATATTTTGTTAATTCACACACTCACACACACACACACCCACACACACACACACTCACAGCGCAGTAGATGGGGCGCAGGGACATGAGCCTCTCCACATGGTATCCCAGATTGCCGCTGTACGCGTCCCAGTGAGGATACTCTCCTCTCTCCAGGACAAACTGCTGCCCCTGGAAGTCATGATGCTCATATCCCACCCAGCTAGAGACAGAGGAGAGAGTGAGGAGAGACAAAAAAGAAAGCATTGATTTGTGTAGAAACACTAAAACTTTTGAGGATCTTCATAGACATTGGCTGTATTAGTATGTTGCTGTGTGGTTTCTCTTCTGGTACTCTTGTATGCATAAAATGAAGGGAAAATATGGCAGTGATAAGTGTCCCTAAGAGTGTGATTTGCTGCATTTTCATCAGGAAGTCAAGTGTGGAGTGCTCAGCAAATGTTTTTTACAGTGTTGCATAGCTGATTATGCACTGAGAGACTTCACACACAGTGTATGAGGTGCTTGCCCAGCTTTGCACTACTAGACTGGTAGGTAGTGCTGTGGTAGTTGAGTTTGGTCTCAAGATGTTTTTTCTTTTGTGTTGGACTTATCTTAGTCATGGCCATTAGTCTATACCATATTTAGCTTTGACTAAAACCATAAAAATGTATTTATTTGTATTTTCTTTCTTTTAACTGTTGTCAAGATGCACTAACTTGTACTGACGTAACTAATTTAGCCAATTTGGATTAGAAAACAGGTTTAATTCCTATTCTGATTCTTTATTCTAATAGGTTAAGGCTTGATCTTTTTGTTTCAATCTCATTTGGACTTATGGCAGTCAAGATCATGAAGTTCTAGCTGACAATTAATTGTCATAAGAATAATTGTGATGAACAATGTAATTGTTTTTTCTTGTCCCTTGTATTGCAAAATAAAAGCCTAAAGGGCCAAATTGGCTGATTTAGCTATGTTGCTTCTTACCTATGGTTACTTAATAGCTATAACACTGGTTGTACTGACATGCACACCTACACTAATGTCTCCAGACAGATTTTTTTCTGGAAAGTATAACCAGAAATCACCCATTTTGCTAGCATACATGCTAAACATGCTATGTTGGAATTTGCTACATAGCTTACAGCTGAATAAACAGAGCTCCAAGTTAGAAATTAAACCCAAGAAGTTGAACCCAACGCTCCAAATTCACATTTTGCTTTTGCAGAAAAATATGACTCTGAAAACTAACAACTATGAAAACTGCAGTCAACTTAAGCAATCATCTCAAATAATTGCGATTAGACGATCATGTAATAATTGTAACAGGCCAATTGGGACTTGGTCTTAACTTGGTCCCACACCATTCAAACTTAATTCTGACTCAATCTCGACTAGTCATAGTCTTAGACTTGTCTTAGAATCGACAAAGGTGGTCTTGACTATCGCCCCGCTGGTAGCAGTGTTGTGCAAAAGACAGAAACTTTCTATAGTCAGGAAGTAAACTGGTAGAAAAAAGGAAGCAGAAATCTCACCAAAATAATATACCTTTATATGTACTTTAACTTATCTATTTTACATGACATTACTGAATTCAGGGTGTTAAAGCGGAATTTTAAAAAATTCTGCATGATTAAATTATTAAGATGTAAACAAAGTCATTCAGAGTGGTTTGATGTGAAATGATCTGTCCTAGAGAAACTTAGTCAGACTTGTTAGCAGTGATGTTGATGTCTGAAACATTTAATGCTTGTAAAAGCGCGCTCACAGAAAATCATTATATGAAATGGCTAAGAATATGTTGCTTGATTCCTGAGACATTGTTTTACATTTTCAAATAAAAATGTATCTGGCCTGAAATGTATCTTTTAGAAGCCATTCATGGTGCAGGGCTACATTCAGGACATTATAAGGCAAAACAGACCCCAAAAGAAAACATATCTTTCTAGATTTACTACTATTTTAGCATCATCAACATTACATATAAAACTCAGAAGACACCTGCAGGTTCACTGGTGCCTTTGGATGGTAAATAAAAAGGTTATATTTGTAGACATATGTTATAGAGATTGTGACCCCTGCTTCCTATCACTTCTATAAAAAAGAAAATCAGAGATGGTAGGTTTCTCTACAGTGAATCATTTCACAACAAATCACTCTGAAAGACTTTGTTTACATCTCAACCAGTGAGTTATGCAGAAATAAAAAAAAAACAGTGGGTTTCCCACTAGGAGACATTGTAAAGTGTACTTTTGTGGTTTGTTGTAAGGTGTATTATGTGATTGTCTGATTGTCTGTGAAAATGTTTTCTTTTTTCCCCTCAATGAAGCCGCTGTAATGGTGAAATCTGACAATAAAGTGTATCATATAATTCCTCACTCTCATTACTAAATAACTCACGTTAGTTACACAGATATTACCAAATAGCTCATTGTAGTTACTGAATAATATATTTTAACAAACCCACCCTTTACGGTTAACACTATTAAACTTGTACCTTCCATAAAATGCATTGTTGCTGAATTAGTAATTTTACTTTCCACTGAGCTGCAGTAAGAGAGAAAGACTCACGTGCCGCTCTCCACTCTGAGTGAGCGAATGTTCTGGAAGCCTCTCTCCTGGATGTTGCAGCACTCTGAGGTCAGTTCCTGACACTTCCCCTGGAAGTGCTCCTGCTCGAACACCGTCACCTGACAAACAGACATGTTGTATTTTCTCCCTTTAACACTGTTCTCTATGTTTCAGTGCTTTATTCTGTATCCTCTATTTCTCTTTCAGTGCTCAATCAAGGTTAGGATGGAAAAGCAACACATCAACAACACCACAATGACGTTACCATAGATAACAAAACATCAAAATGACTTTTACCTTTCTGTCACAAACTACAGGGAAACTGAGAGAGTTACATAGAAAGTGTGTGTGAGAGAGAGAGGGAACGCATGAGTTCTGTTTAGGGATTGTATAGCATTTACCTTGAAGAAAGGTGCCATGCCCATTCCTGACATGAGCATTGGCTCATTCATAGCGGCCTTTACAAACCTTCTACTCATCCTTTCACTCTCTGAAAAAGAACATAAGGACAGAGATGATAAGAAGAAGCATATAGTATGAAATTATATTTTAGCTTATCAGAAGTGGTTAATGTGGAACAGGCCATGCTTGTAAGGCTTTGCTTCTTAGAACACAGATGAAGCATGTCCATGGACTATGTTGCACTTCTCCATAAGAAAATTTGAGTTGGGCTTAAAGGGGAATTTCACCACTAATTTTCTGCACACTTAAATGGTTAGGATGTAAACAAAGTCATGCAGAGTGGTTTGATTTGAAATGCTGCTCTAGAGAAACTATCAGAATTGTGCACAATGGTATTGAAATGGAACCTAACATCCGAAGCCTTTAACACCTCACAGAAAGTTATTACAAGAAGTATTTGCGAATACGCTGCCTGATGCATGATGCCTGAAACATTGTTTTATGATAGTTTTGCAACACGCTTTTGGCCTAAAACATACTTCATGGCATTTTTCATTGTGGAGGGCGTACATACGAAATTATAATGATAAAACAACTCTGAATACATGTGTTGGTTCACTGGTGCTTTTAGACAGTAAATAAAATGGCTATATTTGTGTAAATATTGCGGCCGCTGGTTCCTACCACCTCCACTTAAATCATATGTACTTATATCAATTAATAATAAGCCTGGGACTTTAAACGGTTAACTAAGTCATTTTGCATTGATTTCCTTGTAATTACTAAGTAATAAGCATTATTAATGAGCATAAATAATGTGTTTGCAAACACTATATATCTGGGTACTTTTACATTTCCATTCCTGTAAATTTATATTGTTTTCCATGTGTTTACTGAACCATAAGCCATAGGATGTTATACACCTAGAATTTTTAAGTAATTTTTCATTTTGTAATTACTGAGTAATAAGTAAAATTAACCAAGGCTTAAGTAATGTTTGCAAACAATAAATATCAAAGTATATTATTATCATTTGCTGTCCTCACTATTATAATTCAAGATTAACTAAGTCATTTTGCATTGTTGTCTATGTCAATAATTAGTGACTAATAAGCCTTAAAATGCAATAATAATGCAATAATAAATTAAGGAGTTTATCTAGTCCCTGTAGAGACTCTATAGCAGTTAAAAAGATTTCATTGGACTTTTTTATGAACTAGCCTGTAGAACCTTACAGAACCAGTTAATCCCTGCAGTATTGACCTTTAGACCTTGACATCAGAACTGAATCTCTTACCTGAGTCTTCACTTCTGGCTCTGAGGGACTCTACCTCAATCCTGTTTTGCAAACACTTTTATAATAATGTGGCGCTGCTATTTTATACCGACAACCACAGCTGGGCACGCATCCCCATCCTGAAACCTATGGAGGGGTGTGTGTGTGTGTGTGTGTGTAATTGAGAAGTCATTCTCTTTTCTCTCTGTTCAGTGTAGTCGTGCATTGTGCTCAGTCAGCGGATTGGATTTGATGGAGCTGCTGGTGCTCTGCCAGCGCGCGTGCGCTGTCACCATTTGGGTGAATGGGTGGCTCACAATAGAGGAAGGTCAGTTATATTCGTATAGGTCAGCATTGTCCATCGTATAGCGCACAAAGGCTGGTCTATACGTGAAGAATACAGGGATTTGTCTTACTGTGTACAGTGAATAATCTGAAATGCACACTGGCTTTCACTCAACCACTGGGTGAAGTGATGTGTGATCTCTGTAAGACACCTGGACAGTGTCTTGGTGTTAGAACTGGACACTTAAGTGAAAGTGATGAAAAGTCATCTTCAGGAACTTCAAGAATTTCAGCTCTCATAGAGACAGCCTTCACAGTCACTTAATATTCAGTGATTCATTAAACTATTATGTCATTGAAAGTGTATTTATTGAGTATTTATTATATCTGCCTATCAAACCACTGAGTCCACACAAGGCAGCCATGATGACAGATGTGGCATCATGGCTACCATAGAGTGCACTTACCTCATCTGACCCATAACCCCTGACCCAGAAAAAAGAGAGAGAGAGCGAGAGAGAGAGGTAGAAGAGAGAAAAAAAAGATAGAGGGAGGGGGAGAGAGAGTGGAGGGTGAGAGAGAGAGGGAGATGCAGGGAGAGAGGGGAACAGAGAGAGAGAGAGAGAGAGAGAGAGAGAGATGCAGGGAGAGAAGGGGAGAGACACAAAAAGAGAGAGAGAGGGGGAAGAGGTATGGAGAGCGGGGAGAGAGAGAGGGAGAGAGAGGCAGGGAGAGAAAGAGGGAGATAGAGGGAGAGAGAGATAGAGATGCAGGAAAAGAAAGAGGGAGAGATAGAGGGACAGAAAGGGATAAAAACAGAAAGACAAGGGGCAATGAGAGAGAATAGAGCGAGAGAGAAAGACAGAGGGAGAGATAGTGAGAGAGAGATAGTGGGAGAGAGAGATGCAGGGAGAGAGTGAGAGAGAGAAAGAGAGAGAGAGAGAAAGAGAGAGCGAGAGAGAGAGAGAGAGATAAAGGCAGAGGAAGACAGAGGTAGAGGGCGAGGCAAGGAGAGAGACAGAGAGAAAAATAAAGAAAGACAGAGAGATCTCGGGGTGGGGGTGTTAATGTGCATGTGGGTGTGGGTGGGAGAGAGAAGACGGAGGGATATTTATATGTTTCCAAACACTGTGTATGTGAATTGTGTAAACACAACACAACAATGAGCGCATTGCTAAACTCCAAAAACACAGTCTATGTAATCACAAACTTACTGAGATATTAATATAAAAAAAGTATAATAATAATAATAATAATAATAATAATAATAATAATAGTAAGAAGAAGAAGAAGAAGAATTTTCATGTATGTAGCACCTTCCTCAAATCCAAGGTCACAGTATAATATGAAAAAATAGTCAGTGTTCTAACTTCACCACTTTTGACGATCCTTTAAGGTTAATAGCTTTAATCTGCAGATGTACTGATTGTAGCAGCTCCTCAGATGAGGTTGCTATAGCAGCAGCTAAATAGTGTTGCCAATTATAAATATGACAAGAAACTTGTGTTATTAATGATCTCCAGCCATTGTCAAGCCTAACTGATTCAGGGACTGAATTTAGTGCCCACACTGTCCTTGAATCGCTTGAGCAAACATTGTTTTGGTTTGATATTGAATATCTTTTACATTTTCAGACAGAAAAATGTCACGACTGACAAAAATAAATTCCGTGTGACCCCTGTTCTCCAGCAGAACGGACACACTTCCACTCTTCTTCCACTGTCATGGGCTGAAAACAAGTCTGAAAACACCAGTCACACCTTTTAATACTCTTTCTCTCTATCCATCTCTCTCTCTCTCTCTCTCTCTCCTTTTTCCCCTCACCCCTCTCTTCCCTCTCTGTCACACTTTCTCTTTCTCCATCACTCTCTTTCCTTCTCTTTCTCTCTCTCCCCTCTCTTTCTTTCCTTCTCCCCATCTCTCTCTTCTGTTCTTTCCCTCTAGCTCTCTTCTTACCTCTCTGTTTCTCTCTCTTTCTGCATCCCTCCTTGCTTTCTCTTTCCCACTCTCTTTCTTCTCTCCCACCTCTTCTCTCTCTCTCTCTCTCTCTCTCTCTCTCTTTCTCTCTCTCTCTCTCTCTCTCTCTCTCTCTCTCTCTCTCTCTCTCTCTCTGTTTGATGATGGGGTGATTTCTATTCTGTATGTGGGGTGGTGAGCTCAGCGGGTTTGTTTCTGTGGGTTTAATCCCCACACGTTGGACGCCAGCCTATAAAAGAGCCGCGTTCTCGCTCTCAGCACACACGCTGACTTTGCTGAGTGAGAGAGACAGCGGCTACTCACTTATACACAGGTAAGAAGACAGAAAGAGAACGATACACTCTAAAGCCCTAACCCAAAAAAGTTTAAATAATAACAATAATGGTGTAGTTTTTTTATGTAGGTAGAGAATCATTTATTTTGCAATAATAAATGAGTGTAGTCACACTTAGTGGGCTCATGTATGAAGTGATGAAGACAACAGCAAGATGTTCATGAGGCCACAGCATCTGCAATTTAATCATCCAGCGTAACAGAGTAGGAGGAAAACTGAAAGTGTGAACTGCTGTAAGGCATAGCACAAGCTACTAATTTTCATAAAGACCACTTGTAGCATTAGAAAAAAAAACGAAGAGCTTAAAAGAGAATGTGTCCACCACCTCACAGAGAGAGGGATGGATGGAGAGAGGGAGAGAAAGAGAACAATGTAGTCAGCTCTTCAATGCCCATCACACTGGTGGGTGTAAAGGGCAACAAGCAAGTCAGCACTCAGAGCAACAAAGGGCAGAAGAGGGCACTGTCCACTGGGAACACAGCTCGTGAGCAAGAGTCACTTCAATATTGACTCATAACTTAAGAGTAACCTAATTAGTGACTCATAAACGATATCGATTTTTATATATGTAATATAGTTTCTGTATTTCTTTCATTCTCAGAGTGAGTGGATCATTTTTCACTTTCTATTCTCTGGACGAGTTTAAAGCTTTAGCCAGAACTAAACTCAAACTTTTTTTTTTTTCCACTCCAATGTACAGCACTCTGATACATATAAACATGCTCTTCAGAAAGGTGTAGTTTATAGTAAATTACTGAAAAATGGTTACCATATTTGCTAATATTTGCTTGGAGTGGCAGATCTTGCAGTTACTGCTAATACCGGCTTACAAAACTCCACTTTGAGCTTCTGTTCCACATTTTCATTTTAATTTAAGTCTGAAAACTAATGTAAAGCCCCTCTATGGATTTCTGATTTACTACGAATCTTAGTACTTAGCTTCCAAATTTATAACCCACAGTTCCAAAAGTGTAGTACGTTACCGCCCACTTGATAAAAGGAACTGTTCATATTTTTTTTCCTATTCATTTAATTTCTTTTGGTTTCTTCGTCTTGTTTTTCTCTTTATGTCCTATTGCTATGGTTAATACTCTACTTTATTGTCGAGTTCTTTCTGCACTGTCATCTATTGTCCCCCTTTGCTGTCTTTTGTTTTACTTTCGCAATACTCCTGTGCTGATTTCAGTGCTCTGAAAAGCAGCCATGAGCTTTAAAGAGCTTTACATAGAAAATACGTATTATTTACTATTATTTATTTAATTAATGGACTTGATACTCTTTCTTCACCTCCGGTTGGATCGCAGTCATCATGTCTTCCGGTGGAGAGAAGGCTAACCCTGCCTCCCAGCCTGACGGCAAGGCCGCTCAGAGCACCAAGTCTGACTTGGGCATGGGCTCCTACAAGGTAAGACATACACTCACACTGAATTACTGCTCCATATGGATAAGATAAGGCAAAGAAGTTCCACATATGTACATAAAGGTATGATGCCAAGTGTTCAAGTCTCTACTGAGAGAAATTTCCAGTTGCCATAGATATGTGTGGGTGTTGCCTATAAAGAAAAGTCTTGATTGCGTAACGTTAAATGGACCTTGTTTTTTTTTTTTAAACCTCCTTCTTTTATCTTCCCAGTATTCCTAATCTTCCTGATTCTTTCTCATTTTTCTTTTTCTGCTCTGTTCATTTAACCTTCACACGTCCTGCTTTCTCAAGGTCCTCTCTTTGTTCCTCACTCTTTCTCTTCCTCTGTCTCATAAAAGTGTTTGACTCTTCTCATCTTCTCTCTTTCTCAGATGTGTGTGTACGAGCGGGAGAACTTCCAGGGCCGTATGATCGAGATCACCAATGAGTGTATGAATGTGTGTGAAATGGGCATGGACAAAGTGCGCTCGCTGCGCGTGGACTGTGGCCCGTGAGTAATAAACACACACACACTGGTTTGTAATGTGACAATAACAGTTACAGCAAGAACCTTGAGTCACATTCCTCACTCTTTCTCCTTCCTTGTCCCCTGTTCTCTCACTCTCTCTATCTCCCTCAATCTCTGTCTATAGTTTCGTTGGTTTTGAGCAGATGAATTTCTGTGGTGAGATGTACATCCTGGAGAAAGGCGAGTACCCTCGCTGGGACTGCTGGAGCAACTGCCAGAGGAACGACTACCTGCTCTCCTTCAGGCCTGTCCGCATGGTATAACCTCTGTCCACCTCTACGCCTGTTGCTCTCCTTCTGAGCCCATACGCTCTTGCGCTCCTGTCTTCTCAAAGACAGAATCAGTAACCAAATGTGTCATAACATAGCACATCTTTCTCTGAATCAGAGTTGTAAATTTGACCGTAAATCTCTATCACCAGTTTCTTAATGTTTTTTTCTGGTTGTTCTCACATGTTATCACTTACTCTGTGTCATAGTGCATCATATCTTCTAAAACATGCACACTAATTTGGACAGAGTAGCACACAGTAATGCTGCAGACCAGCACATCAGAATAGAAACAAAAATTTAAAAAAAACAAAGAAAGAAAGACTTAAGTGTAAATTTCACTGTATTTTTTTTTAATTCTGCTTTCAGTACAGCAGTACAACATGATGTACTATTATACACTGCAGAACTTAAATGTAGATGGAGGTTTTGATATCATCACTGTCATATCATAACAGGATAACTTCACCAGCTGCCCTTTACAGTATGTGAACATTTCATGATGAACAGACCAACATAAATGGTTCAAAATTGCTTGAAATAAAATTTCATGCCATATGTACACAACCTCTACAGAGAACACACTTCTGCATATTATGATGCACAATCTCTGTTTATTTGTTAAATTTGACATATTGGGAAAATAAAACACAAAATGTGGCCTGTGCAAAAGTTATGGCACATTTTATATTTTGTAAAATGGTAAAAGGGTTTTATTTTTTCAATGTTAAACTCAGCTAAAAATCCCCAAAATTAGTGGAAAACGCCATATGTAAGTGTGTTCCCAGTATGCAATGTGTTAATTTTGAGAGGGGGTATTCAAGCTTCTGCATATAATTCTATATTGATAATCATGCTATAATCAAAGACAGCATAGCTGCTTGGACAGTATCAAGAAAAGACCAAGCAAATTTTGTCCCAAGAATTTGGCACAAATAAGAAGGAGACTCACAAGGCAATCCAATCTGTCTGCCTCAGGACCCAGAGAAGCATAAGATCTGTCTGTATGAGGTTGGCGAGTATAAGGGCCGTAAGATGGAGATCATTGATGACGACGTGCCCAGCCTGTACGCCTACGGCTTCACTGACCGAGTTGGCAGTATCATGGTCAGCTGTGGCACGTAAGTATTGGAATATGTGCTTACGTCCGTGTGCGTATTTCCAAGAGCTAAGTTTAAAATGAGGATTTTGCAAACTTTCTGGATTAATCATCAGGCTTTAAGCTCTATAAGTAGCATTTGTAAAGTTGTTCTAAATGTGGAGAGTGAGCTGTTCAGCTGTTCACCAGCTAGACTTTACTATGTCATTACACATTCGCTTCCATACAGATGTCCTAAGAGAGCTTAACCTCAGCCCCGAGTTTTCCATTCTCCACATTTCCTAAAGCTGTCCAAGGTGTTTTTTTAAAGATGCTGGGCAAAAAAAGAAATCATCCCTGAAATTGCCTGGTATATGGTATGGTATCACCCAGCTCAGAAGGGGTCAGTGGTACCTGAAACTGGACTTAAAAATCCTTTCACGATTTCTATTCATTCCCCTCCCTCCTACACATTCTACCTTTGCACCCACCCACCTGCACGCCACCTGATGCCCACCACTTCTTCTGCTCACGCTGCTTCCTTTCTTGCTCCTCTGTCCCTCTCTATCTGTTTTTTATCTGCTCTCCTCTTTCAGCTGGGTGGGCTATCAGTACCCCGGTTACCGTGGCAGCCAGTACCTGCTGGAGAAGGGCGACTACAGACACTTTAATGAGTATGGCGCCCGCTGCCCCCAGATGCAGTCGGTGAGGCGCATCCGCGACATGCAGTGGCACCAGGAGGGCTGCTACACCATGGCCAGCAAGTGAGGGCTCGGGAGGACGAGAAAGAGAGGGAGCTGGGGGGAGAGAAAGAGAGGGGGGGGAGCCGAGGGAGGAGGGGGAGGAGTGAGGGCCAAGAAGGAGAGGAGGAGCACGCCACCCGTGTGATCCACCCCTGGGGGGAAGGAGAGGGAGGGAAAGAGGGAGAGAGAGGGATGGACATTGTCATGGCAGCAAAGGAAAGATGTAACTGAGAGCATTTTTGTTCACCCGCCTCAGTGGGAGGAGAGAAATGTAATAGTAGAAAATTGTGGCTGTTGAACGTAGATAGCTATGCATGTTAGAAACGTGGGCTAACACTCTCTCTTTTTCTCTCCTGTCTTTTTTCTTTTTTTCTCACCCACCTCTCCTCTTCTCCCTTCCTGTTCTCTCTCCCCTCTTCCTCCTCTTCCTCATCCTCCAATCACCATTTTTCTCCTGAGGACAAAATATTAATAAATAAAAAGTATCAAGTAAGTACAAAACCATCTTGCAGTGTGTTCCCTGACTAGGGGAAGGGTCAGGGGAGATGATTGACATGGATGGGTTTGGGCGGGGCAACTGGAGGGGTGGGGTTTTGGCCTAAAGACCATGTAAAAGCCCTCTATCCATAGGGAGCTGTAATAAAAAGAGCACCTGTGAAATCTCCTTCTGTTCTGTTACTCATTATGAGTTCCTCTGTGATACTCTGATGCTTATCTAGTCGCGTCTTTCAGCTCTCAAATACAAATCTCAAGAGAGTATGAAAGTAAACAAATAAGCAGTCAACAAATAAATATATAAATGGCTAGAGTTTCAATAGTTTGTATTTGAAATAACCATCTTAATTGCATTGACTTGTTCCAATTCTAATTGCAGATTCTAATTGCAGATGTGTTCCAATATCTCTATAATTGCCAGGTGGATGTTCTTTCCATAAAAATGAATAAACAAAAATAATTTTAAAAAGTGTGACCATATGGCATGTTTCGTATAAATTGTGAGGCCAAGACCATGAATAGAAGAATTTCATGACCATGGAATCACCTAAGGGGAACAATCCAATATTGTTCTATAAATCTGGTTTCAAAGTCTTCAAAAGCAGCAACATGAAACAACACCAGAATTGCCTTTCAGAGGCTTCCGCAGGGCACAGAGCTGCATCCAGGGTTCGGTTCAAAGTGGTCCTGTACAAAATGGTCTGTGGGAGTCATGAAGACAAATTTCAAATCTGAAATCAGATGAGCACCACATATTATCAGGTGAGCACCAGATACTGTGTGGTAGGCAGTAGATGCTATTAGGTGAGCACCAGATAATGTGTGATGTGCACCAAATAGTATCTGGTGCTCACCAAATACCATCTGGTACTTACCATTTAGAATCTGGTGCTCATCTGATTTTTACACCACATCCTTTCGGAAGCTCCATACACAGCTGTTAGCAAATACGTTAAAATCATTTTCAAAAAATATAAAAACTGGAAGAGTGTGCTTTTTAAAACACACTACTGGTCCTCTTACCATACCATGGAACATTTGCTTTTGGAGCAGGAGCTCCCAATCCCAGTCCCATAATGCACAGTTTATCAAGCTCCTCATATGCTGGCTCAGTTGTGTCTGCACACAAAATGTGCAGAACATGGGGCTAAAAGGACTGGGATTGGGAGACCTATTAAAGATTCTTTGAAAGGATTGTTATGTTGACAACCATTTTTGCTTTCCGCCACAAAGAACCAATTATAGTTCAACAAATAACTCTTAATAAAGTTCTAAAAGGAACCTGGTTCCTTTACAACTGTGAATGGGTGTTCATAGCACCTTTTCAAAAAAATTATTTTTAGAACCTCTGCTTGTAAAATTATTAATGGATCTCTAACTGTTTCCTCCAAGAACTGAAAGCACATGATTTTTCAGATTTAGCTGGTTCTTTAATAATTTGTTATAAAATCAAACTTAAAATCTAAATGTACAGGAAACACAGGAGCAATCAGACAAAATAATTACCAGTTTCCAAAGAAGTTACTCTCTTTATAAGCTCAAAGGCATTAAGATTCATGGTTATCAAACTTTGGCTGCTGTATACAAAATATAAACTAGCTTCTTAACAAGCCAGCTAACAGTAATATTTCTAGCATTAACTTATTAATAGCATGCTAGTTAGCTCACTATACGTTTCTGAGACAAACATCTGCACAGTACTATCAACTTATTATATATCATGATATCATTCTCAACAGCAGTTGACAATCTAAAATCTCTATGCTTGGATAGTATCCATAATGGCATGTATCCTTACAAAATCCCCAGGGTTTTTGTTTTTTCACAAAGTATGATTTCTCAGTTTAGCTGAATAACTTATACCTAAAACCAAGTCTGTCCAATAAACATCACAGATCCACCACCATATTTCTCTGTGGAATTTATGTTATTTTCAGCATGACTTTGCCAAATTCATTCCTGGTATTTGTTGACAAAGAAATTTGGTTTTGTTTGACCAGAGAACCAATCAAACTTCCAGTGATGTTTGGTAAATTTGTACTTTGAGAACAGTAGAGGATTTTTACTGACTAGGCTTCTAATTAGTTTGATGGCATGGCGCTGTCATCTAATTGTAGTTTTCAACCCTGCTGAGAGGGTGTAATCAACTCCTGCGGTTGTCCAATTATGCCCTTTAGAGAAAATGTTGTCACACAAACCAATATCCTCACTATAAATGGGGGTAAATACAGGTTCCTCACAGTTTCAATTCTTTGAAACCTCTTAAATACTGCCCCAATAGCTAGTTAGCTCAATAGCTCTATACCCTATTTTTGTAGCCATTGCTTGACCTAGGAAGGTCAACAACATTTTGTCTCTTTTTATTTGTATATGTGCTGACCTTCCCCATGCAGATAAATGACTAATGACTGGTCTCAATGTCCACACTTCTGGGTTTGTGTTCTTGGTTCATGTGCTGTGTCCAAATATGTCCCATTTCTCAAATGTAGAGCATGTGTGTACAGTAAAAAGCATGGTGTTCAAGACCACGCTAAACACACACTGAATGTACTCATTACCCAAGCAGTATTACACTCACTGTATATACAACATGTTCTAAAAGTTTGTCTCAGAAATGATGGAGAAGACTATGAAAGTTAAAATCCATTATTACTCAGTGAATAAAATCCATTATTGTCTTGCAAAGATAAGATACATATGGCACACATTCAGTCTGTGCTTGCACACATTTGCCTAATCCTGAAATATATCACTGAAATGTGTCCACTAGTACACATTTAGACTTTGAAGAAAGCTATAAGGGTTTCTCCTGCATGTCACCCGATATTTATATCCCAGTTATACCAGAAGTCATATATGACACCTTAACATTTCCTAAAAAACTCAACTGTGCAAAAAGAAAGTCAAATTTAAATGGGAGTTTGTTAGATTTAGTTAAGGGTGCCAGTAATTGAGACACATGTGTTTTTAAATAGAAATGTTGTTTCTATTTTTTAAGCTGTACTATGTAAGATCTGGGGATTTGGAGACCTCTCTAGTGGAAATGTGTTATAATATGTGGAAGAACATTTTGCTTCGAACCCCCATGAGCAGATGAATTTGACGATTGTGAGTGTGTAGCAAGAGTAAGAAAGAGTGTAGAAAGAGAACTCCGTCAAACCTTAGTGAAGGTCATGTTTTCTGAGGCCTAAACATCAAGCCGTGCCTTTTTTTGACCCTGTGCGCTTGAAATCAATGTAAAGATTTATGACATGGTCTGAAAAACTCCCTCTCAATCCAACTCATTAGCTCTGACTTTTAAATTATTATTTAAAAATCAGAGCTTTACAGGGCAACTCACAGCAGCGCATGCACACTATATTTTAACGTGTTTTTCTCTCCTTTCTCAGTAATTCTACTTCTTTCAATTTCAGCAAAAATCTTACATAGTGCAGCTTTAAAGACCGTTTTTCTTTGAACACATTTCCTCAGTGAAATGTTGGATTTCTCCAATATTTTTAGTATGAGATCAAGTAGATAAACAGCAATGCTATATTTGCTGACTTTTTTTTTTACCAGGGTACTATTTATAATAATACTTTACTACATTTGTTACCAAATTATCTTTTAGAGCTGGTGTCAATAGACTTATTGAGTCTCTATTCCCAGTTTGTAATAGTTTTGTGAATTTCTGCCTATGTGTGACTGTTGAGTACTACTAATATGATGTCACTCCATACGTGATTCACTGCTTATAGACTGCAATTGTGCAGCAGACATTTATAGGACACATTCTAAATATTATCACAAACAAGTGACATTTCAGTATTGTATTAATAGAAATCTAACAGTGCTGTAAACTGTTTAGTGTGATATCTGTACGATATGAAAACGTCAGAAACAAATAAATGACGAATTCTCAGCCATCTCACACCCACGCACGCACATCTCACATGCATGCAGACTTTTATCATGCGCATTGTTATTATTATAATGGGCTAGCCTCAAGTATTTCTTTGTGAAAATCTTTCTTACTCAATGAAAAAGCTCAGGCAAGTATACCATGTCTCAGTGTCACCCCTCCTACACAAAGTCACTGTTTTCTCACACACACACACACACACACATATACCTGCACTCAATCCAGTCTAAATGTAGACACAAGTTTGACGTCACACTCCCATTGGCTTACAGATGATAAAAGCTGCTGTGCTTCAGACACGCTCTCTCCCCGCTGTGCACCTGGGGAAATATAGTGGTCAGGAATGGGATAGCAGGCTGAGTGTGTGTTCAGTCTCTCTTTCTCACGTTCACGTCATTCCCTGGATCTAAACATTAACAAGGAGGTAATGGTTTCGATTTTTTAGGAATGGAGAAACAGCAAACATTATCTGTAGGCCTCAGGAGAAATCAATATGAGGCAATTACAGCATAATATTATTAAATCTGTGTATATTGGAAGAGTGAAATCACTGTATTCACAATCTGTTCTGCATGTATATGCTGCTCAATCTGTACCAGAAAATACTGTAAATAATATCTCCTCTTCCCCTCGACATAGTAGGGCCTGAACGATATGTT